TCAAACGACCGCGGAACCAACTCGAACCACAGCGGGACCTCAGGAACCGACCGCGCAGCACATTCAAACCACAGCGACCCTCAGCAGCCGACCGCGCAACGAACTCGAACCAAAGACCACAGCGGGCCTTCAGCGATCAACCACAAACAAACTCGAACCACAGCGGACCCTCAGCAACCGACCGCGCAGCAAACTCGAACCAGAGCGTACCTGCAACCGAGAGCGCCGCTTGGCGCTGGGGGGAGGTTCCAGATGGAATTTCACCCTGGAACGGTTCCGGTGTGGAAATAAATTTGGGACCTCCTGTGGGCGGGAGAGGGCCCAGCCGCGAGGAAAAGGCTCCTCAATAAGAGATCTCATTTGGAAAATTGCCATCTTTTGGGGCTCGGGTACAATCCCTCCCATCCCCGAGAGAGCCGTTTTGCGCTGGGAGAGGGTTCCAGATGGATTTTCACTCTGGAACGGCTCCCGTGTGAAAATCCATCTGGGACCTCCCTGGGCGAGAGGGCCCAGCCGCGAGAAAAAGGTCCCCCAAAAAGAAATTTGGAAAATTGGGGACTCGGGTACCCCCCCTCCCCCATCCCCGAGAGAGCCGTTTTGCGCTGGGAGAGGGTTCCAGATGGATTTTCACTCTGGAACAGTTCCGGGGTGAAAATCCATCTGGGACCTCCCTGGGCGAGAGGGCCCAGCCGCGAGAAAAAGGCTCCCCAGTGAGAGATTTCATCTGGCAAATGACAAGTGTGTTGGCTCCGGTACACCCCCCCCGTCCCCTAATGAGCCGTTTTGCGTTGGGATAGGGTTCCAAATGGACTTTCACCCTGGAACGGTTCCGGGTTGAAAATCCATCTGGGACCTCCCTTGGCGAGAGGGCCCAGCCGCGAGAAAAAGGCTCCCCAATAAGAAGTTTCACTTGGAAGCTGACAATTTTGTAGGCTCCTGTGCACCCCCTCCGTCCCCGAGAGAGCCGTTTTGCGCCGGGAGAGGGTTCCAGATGGATTTCACCCTGGAACAGTTCCGGGTTGAAAATCCATCTGGGACCTCCCTGAGCGAGAGGGCCCAGCCGCGAGAAAAAGACTCCCCAACAAGAGATCTCCTTTGGAAAATTACCATGTTGGGGGCTCGGGTACGCCCCCCCCATCCCCGAGAGAGCCCTTTTGCGTTGGAAGAGGGTACCAGATGGATTTTCACCCTGGAACGATTCCGGGGTGGAAATCCATTTGGCACCTCCCTGGGCGAGAGCGCCCAGCCGCGAGAAAAAGGCCCCCCAATAAGAAGTTTCATTTGGAAGCTGACAATTTTGTAGGCTCCTGTACACCCCTCCCCATCCCCGAGAGAGCCGCTTTGCGTTGGGAGAGGGTTCCAGATGGATTTTCACCCTGGAACGGTTCCGGGGTGAAAATCCATGTGGGACCTCCCGCGGCACTGGGCGGGTGAGGGCCCAGCTGCAGGCTCTCCAATAAGAGATTTTTCGTCTGGAAGATGACCATTCTGAGGTGAAAATCCATTTGAAACCGCCGCGAGAAAAAAGGCTCCCCAGTAAGAGATCTCCTAGAGAAAAATTGCCATTTTAAGGGCTCGGGTACACCCCCCCCATCCTTGAGAGAGCCGTTTTGCGGTGGGAGAGGGTTCCAGATGGAGCTTCACCTTGGAGCGGTCCCTGGGTGAAAATCCATTTGAGACCTCCTGACGCTGGGCGAGAGGGCCCATCTGCGAGAAAAGGTTCCCCAATAAGAAATCGGAATGGGAAAATTACCACTTTTAGGGCTCGGGCACACCTCCCCCCATCCTCGAGAGGCACCCACAAGGCTCCTGAGAGCGCCCAGATGGAAAATCACCCGTTTCAGTTTATTCTGGAACCTGAAACGGGTCGATGCCGGCCCGATGGGAACACGAAGCGCCTGAGGGTCATGGCGAAGTGGGCATAGGCAGGGATAGGAGGAGAGGAGCAGGGGATAGGCAGGGATGGGAGGGATGGGAGGAGATGGAGCAGGGGAGGAGGAGAGGTCAGGATCGGATCGCAGGAGGAGGAGGAGGAGGAGGAGGAGGAGGAGGAGGAGGAGGAGGAGGAGGAGGAGATGGAGGAGGAGGACGAGGAGGAGGAGGATCACGGGCCGCGCTGGCGTGCTGATCTTGTGGGGGCTGCAGGGCTGCGCGCCTGGCGGCTGGCTGAGCCGCTGCCCTGCAATGGCTGCTGGGGGTTGCGGCTGGGGAAAGGGGTCACCCGGCGGCCCCCCTGGTGGAGTGCCGGGCGGGTGCTGACCATCCGGCAGCCCCGCTCTGAGCTGGGCGCTGCACGGTGGACAATGTATGTTTTCCTTTGTTGCTTTCTCACTTTTTGTGTGTGCCAGTCTGTTTTCCCTTATATTTTTTCCTGCTGCCGCGGCCGCTTCCCGCGTAGAGGGGGCTTGCCGCCCGTCCCACTGGCCGGGTCGCACCGGTGCGACCCGGCCAGTGGGACGGGCCGGGCGGGAGAGCCTAGCTGGACCCTCACCCCACGCGGCCGGCGCACTCGGCTACCGGTCGGGACGCCGGCGCGTGCTGGGGCACATGGGGCCGGCTGG